TTATAGAGTTCTTCCTTTCTTATTTTAAAGAGAGAAGAACAAAAAATAATAAATGCAAAGACAAAACAATGCAAACTAATTTCTATTAGTTTATTGAGTTCTTCCTTTCTTATATTTATCCCTTTTATTTCTTTCTCTTGTTGGATTGCTCTGGCTGATGTTTCACTTAGTAGAAGTGGCGATAGTGGACATCCTTGTCTTGTTCCTGATTATAGGAGGAATTCTTTTAGCTTTTCCTTATTTAGTGTGATGCTGGCTTTTGGTTTGTCAAAAATAGCTTTAATCATATTCAAGTATGGTCCTTCTATACCTGTTTTCTTCAGGGCTTTTATCATGAAGGGGTATTGGGTTTTGTCAAATCTTTTCTATATCTGTTGATATGGTCATACAGTTTTTCACTTTGCCTCTGTTTATGTGATATATTGCATTCATTGACTTACATATGTTGCACCGTCCTTTTATCTCTGGGATGAAACCCACTTGGTCATGACATATAATCTTTTTGATGATGTACTGCACTCTATTTGGTAATTTCTTATTGAGGTTTTTTGCATCTATGTTCATTAAGGAAATTGGCCTGTAATTCTGTTTTTTAGTTGAATCTTTGTCCAATTTTGGGCTCGGGGTAATACCAGCTTCCATAAATGAATTTAAGAGCACTCCATCACTTTCAATTTCTTTGAAGACCTTGAAGAGTATTGATCATATAACATCCTTAAAGGTTTTGTAGAATTCAGCAGTGAATCCATCCTGGGCTTTTTTAAGTTGGTAGATTCTTTATCACTGTGTCAATTTTATTGCTTGTTTTTGGGTTAAGCATATTTATGTCTTAGGTTAGTTTTGGTGGTAGTTTTGGTAGTTTGAAATCTGTCCATTACTTCAAAATTTGCTGATTTCTTCAAAATTTTTCAAAGTTGTTACTGTATTCTGGATTTCCACAATGTCTGTTATGATTTCATTTGTAATTTCATTGATGAGTCTTTTCTACTTTCTCTTGGTAATTCTGGTTAGAGGCTTATCTATTTTATTCTTTCAAAGAACCAGCCAGCTTTTAGATTCATTGATTTTTCTTACGTTTTCTCTTTTTTTTAGTCTGTTTCATTGATTTCTGCTCTCACCTTTTTTTTATTAAGTTATAATGATCACATTCATTGTATACAATTTGTAGCTGTACGTGATTAGAAGATGCAGAAATATCTTTAAAATTTTCCTTATTTTTGGTGTGAGTCTATGTTGTTGTTTCTCAAGTGTTTTAAGGTTACTCATAAGGTTACTTATGTTTGGCATACTCTTTTTCTAATGTAAACATTGATGGCAATGAATTTTTCTCTTAGAACTACTTTCTTAGTATCATGGAGGTTTTGGTGAGTTGTACAGTCATTGTCATTACCTTCCAGAAATTTTTTATCTCTTTTTGATTTCTTCTGTGATCCATTGGTTGTCTAGGAGTATGTTGTTAATTTTCTGGAAGCTTTTGCCTTTTCTGAAATTTCTCATGTCATTGATTTCTACTGTCATTGTACAGTGGTCTAATACTATGCATGGGGTACTTTCAATTCTTTTATATTTGCTTAAGCAGGCTTTGTGGACAAATATGAGACCTGTTTGGGAAAAAGTACCATATTGTGCTGAAAGGAATGTATCTTTATTATAGAGGGTCAGAATACTCTGTAAATATCTATTCAGACCATATGTTCAAGGACATGATTCAGCTCTAAAATTTCTTTATTGAATTTTTGTTTAGTTGATCTATCTCTTTGTGAATATAGAGTATTGAAGTCCCTTCTTATGATTGTGTGTTTATTTGATCCTTTAATTTCAGCAGTTTTTGTTTTATGGAGATTGGTGCTTCAGTATTAGGTACATATATATTTATCAGTGTTGTCTCTTGTTGAATTGTTCCCTTAATTCATATATAGTGACCTTCTTTGCATCTTCTAATCAGTTTTAGCTTGACGTTTACCATATCTAATATTAGAATTGCTACCCCTACTTGTTATCTGGGACCTGGTATATGAAATACTATTTTCCATCCTTTAATTTTTAGTGTAATATCCTTTTGGATTAGATGAGTTTCTTTAATGCAACAAACTGTTGAATTCTGTATTTTGATTCATTGTGCCAATTTTTGTCTTTTAATTGAAGAATTCAGGCCATTAATGTTAAGAGAGGTTACTGAGATGCGTTGTTTACTGTATTTGCTGCCTGTATCTATTGGTGAATCCTTTGTTGTTCTTTTCCTGACTTTTTTGTTGCTGTTTATCCATTGACTTTGGCTGTGTCAGTTTTGTTATTTCGGTCACAGAATTCACAGTTATACTATAAGCATCATAACAGCCCAAGTAGTGGTCCATAGCTAATATGTACTAAGTGTGATGGCTATGTCTCTTCTAATGGTTAAAAAAGTCACTCAACAGTAATTTTATAGAATCAGTTATCTAAAGCACAGGGAGTTGGGGCCTATGCAATGATAGAAGGGGAGAAAGAAAAGGGGGAACAGTTTTGTTTTTTTTTTAAGTCTTCTATGTGTTATAGGAAGGAGGAGGAAATAGGAGGGGGGCAAAGGATCATAATGTTGGTAGAGGTTTATTATATATTTAGATGCAGATAACAGGGGAAACTGGGTATAAATTCAATAGTGGGAAATGGAAGTGAGAAAGAATTCTGTGAATAATAGAAATATTAGAGAAAAAGTTAAAGGGAGATAAATAAAACAGGAAGAGAAGAAAAAAGACAAAAAGAAAAAGGATAGGAAACACGAGAAAGCAGACAGATAAAAAGATATGGATAAAAAATGTAGAAGGAATGAAAAGGAACAGGCACAGTTTCCCTTACCCACTATAAACTGTAGTGAAAGAGAAAGGCAAGAGGAAGAAACAAGGGAAAAAAATGAAATCAAAATGGGAAAAAGAGCAGTAGTTGGAAAACAGCAAAAAAAAAAAAAAAAAGAAAAGAAAAGAAAAGGATTTTCTATTGTTTTGGATGCGTGGCTTTTTTCCACTGCCTACAAAGCGAGATGTGTCTCTGCTTGCACTGAAGTCTGAGGTGGCACTTCACCGGCAGAAAAGTGCTGGGTACAGGCATCCACATACAACGGCAGGCAGGGTACCCATGTGATCTTCCAGTCCTCTGTAATTCAGGCTAAACTTGACCTTTGACAACAGGAGCCGGGTCCATGTTTACCAACTCCAGCCCTTCATCAGGACTCCATCCAGCCTGCTCTCCAATTCCTGGCCATCTCCTGTGGCTGTCCTTCCCTCTTCCACTCCAGTGTCTTGAATGTGGAGCATGCCTTGCAGCCAAGGTTGAACTCCAGGTTCAAACAGTGAGCCCTTCCCCAGCGGTGTCCCCACCAGCTGTCATTCCGCAGTTGTGGCAGCAGGCCCTGGTCTGAGGCCACTTACCAACTATTGACTGCGGATGGCTACTCTGGAAGCAGTATCCCTTTCAGCCACCCCTGATTCAGTTCCAGTGAAGTTCTCTCTTCCCTGTTGAATGTTGTACAGTAGTCTCCTAATAGTGATCTTTGAATTAGACCCTTCAAATCAGAATTTAGACATGGATACCACATTGTATTTGGTTAATCCAGTCTCTTTTCATTTATGCTAGTTTTTCCTCTCTGTATTTCTAGTTGATGTTGTCTGAGTCTCCCCAATATGACTCCTCCTCTACTCAGCCATGTTGTATTTTCCAGATCCTTCTTCACAGTGCATCTTTCCTGAGCTTCTCTGATGTGATCCCTCCTCTAGTAAGCCATGTTGAATACCCCATTCTAGACTTCTGCCTTGTCCAATATTGGGCCTGCTGTTTTGCTAGTGTTTCTCTTCTCCTATCCAGGGGGGAAACAGTGCAGAGCTAGCTCCAAGTTGGCGGTGGCTGAGGCAGGGTGTGGAGTTGCTCAGACACCATCCCATGGGTCCATGTGTTCTGCCAGGGCTGTGGGTCTGTGCATCCCAGTGGGGCTGCCAGTCCGTAGTTTCTGCCCCCCCCCTTTGTTCGACTCACATACTTTCATGTCAGAAAACATAACTCTTGAAGGATTTGCAGAGACGCACTCAAAGGAAAGAGTTACCAGAAGAATTAGTAAATTTTAATGGGCATTTTTAAAAGGCCCAGAACCGTCTGTAGGATTTTACAGTTTTAAGTTCTTAGAGGTAAGGAAGAGGAATCCCACAAAAATCAGTTTTTCTTAGTACCGCCACTACACTTGATTATGAGCCTTCCCTAGTAAAACAAGGTCTTATCCCATCTCCCACACTTCTCTTTTCATTTGGCTAGTGGTACTTAGACCCAGCTTTCAAAGTATAGCTGAGTATATGTACAATTCTCTTTTCTTTTCTAGGCAGTAAACAAAAAGTATATTTCAGAATGCATTAAGAAGTGAGGATGCTTTTGAAAAAGAAGCTTCCTTAAGTTAAGAATATACAAATATGTTTGTGTTTGTTTCTGTAAATGTCGTCTCCCTATCTTTCTTTGTATTATCAGTCTTACCACTTGAGTCCCTTCTCATTTTAATTTTGTTCCTGCTGATAAATATGTATATAACTGTACTCGTTGTAATCACTGGAATGGTTTATTGTTTGATTTCTTCATAATCACTGGTTTTTTTGTATAAAAAACATGTGCTTTCTCTTAGACTTTGTGTTTTATAGAAATGTTGCCTATCTTAATGGTATTTTTTCCATGACTTTGTAGTCATATTTGCCCTCACTTTCTGTTTGATTTGCTGTTTTGTTTTTGGGGTTTTTTTTTGGTACTGAGAATTGAACTCATGACCTCATGCTTGCCAGGCAGGCCCTGTGCTGCTGAGCTGTATCCCAGGTCCGTGATGTGCTGTTGTTCTTAGTAAGGATTATGATGCAAATACTTACTCTAGATAAAGTTTACATAATAAAAGATTTGCATTTTCTATGTTTCTTTATAAAAGTATGATTATTTTAACTTAATTTGGCTAATAGGTATATCTTTTTTTTCTCCTATTCTTCTTGTTAAACTTCCAGACTATTCTTGGTGCCATGAGAGATATGGTCAAACACAGAACTTCTATTTTCATTGCACATAGATTGTCAACAGTGGTTGATGCAGATGAAATCATTGTCTTGGACCAGGTAAGAGATTTACTTTAAAACTTAATATTTCAAAACATTGAAAATGGTTATAGAAACAAAAAGCTAAATACTGTTTCTAATAAAATATATAGAATTTGTGTTATTTGAGATTGAATGCTGATAGAATTCTGTTTAGTCTCTATTATTGGAAAGTATGTGTGTCATTTCCAAGAAGGGATAAACTGCATTAACACATTCTTTATTAAAGTATTAAACCAAAGGTTTGATTCGTAAGTATTGAATTTTATCATATAAGCAGGCTTTGAAGGGTATATCTATAAAATAAGTTCTCTGTGGTCATTTTTATTCTCAGTAGAGTCTTTGCTTAGTGTCTTTTGCTGTATTTATAATTTTTTGTTCTAGTGAAATATCCTTTATGCTTGAGAGAAAATTATCATAAAGTGATCATTGGCAAACATGGCTGTTTTTATTTTATGTTTTTCTTAATGGGAGATAACTTGCATTATCTCTTCAGAGGGAATTACGATAAAAGTGTACTATCTAAATGTTCTGAATAGGTCAGATGCCAAAAGTATTTGTTTTTATTTTTGTAAAACAAAATTCAGGAAGGAGAAACTAGAAACTAAAGCCACTGGCTACATATAAGATGGGGCCAGGAAAAAGCCTGCAAGATATAGGGAAGGGAATGAGACTTTCCCAAATCTACTTTGTTGCATAGCTTTTACTTTTTGTATGTTCAAAAATACATTTAAGCCTGGAGTGGCATGCTTATCCGTAACCTGAGTACACTAGGATACTGAAGTAGGAGGATTGCAAGTTCAAGCCCAGCCTGCGCAACTTAGGGACACAGCAATGCCCTGCCTCAAATTTAAAAAATAGAAAGAGGCTGGCAATATAGCTCACTGTGAAGGCCCTGGGTTCAATCCCCAGTACCACAAAGGAAACAAAATTAAGTACAAAACTCGGAAATTAAGTTCAAAGAAAAAGTAGTAAAACTGTGCACCAAATTGGTAACTACACAGAAGAAAATAAGAATTAATCCAAATACCTCTTGAACATATCACTACAATTATATATACCTTTAGTGGAATATAATGTAAACACATTAGTAATTGCAAAGAAAACGTCAACTTAGCTAAATTTGTTGGTGATAATACTGTGTGAGAGTATCTATTTTGAAACTATTCTGTGTATATTTCAAGACTGCGCATGTGAACAAGTACATTGATATTGTTAGGACTGGTGTTCTCAGGAGAAAAAAGGTACAAATATTGGAAAGATCAAAGAAGAAGATTCTTGTGGTGTTATATTGGGACAGAATTATTGGTACAAATTAGTGTTAGTTAAGTAGTATTCTAAATAGTGAATAGGCTTATCTGTAGAAAGGGCCTAGAAGCAATGAAAACAAAGTAGCAATGAGTGTACCTGGTACAAATATCTGGGACACAACTGTTTCTCGCTAGAAGTAACCAAGACTCCACAGAGAAACATCTAGGGTAGGAAAAGAAATGAAGGCATGTCACAAGAACACAGAAACCATTTTGAATAGGCTGTCAGCAACCAAATGGGATAGAGCATGAAAAAAGTAATGACATTAATGAATTATAACCTATTGAATAAAATACTAATCTCACAGTCCATAATGATGCTATTTTAAAAATTTGCATAGTGGTAATGTGGGGAGGGGAAGTGTGAACAGACAGGTAGGCAGGGAAGGAAAGAGAAAAAATGTAAGAAAAAGGGGGGTCTAAAGGGGGATGTACTGAACAGTGGCAAGGGAAAGAGGGAGACGGGAAAGAGGAGAAAGGCAAGAGGGAAGAGAGAAAGGGGAAAGGAGGAGAGCCATGATAGTACTGTTAAAACAAAAAGTGCCTAGGGGAAAGGGGGAAGCCTTTCTTTAAGAACAACGTTAACTAGCATGTGTAAAGTGAATGATAAATTTAGAAAATCAGAGTTTGTAACCACCATTGTTTCATATAAGTCGTCATACGGTGAAAAGCTATTTGGGAATAGAATAGTCACACAGTTTGAAAGTACAGTATAACCCATTGATTGCATTTTAACTACAAAGAGAAAAAGGTACTGTTAAAGTAGAGAAGTCTGGTAGATCAGGTGATCAAATTTAATATCAGTATGGGACAGATTGACCTCACATACCTCATGGTATAATAATGCACTGAGGACGCATCATCACTTACTTCTGACAGAAATTTTTAACCTAACTCTAATCATCAGGAACAACTGGACGGATAAACTGAAAGGCTTTAAAAAAACACAAACAGATCTAGACATTTCAGAAATGTTAATGTTACACACACACATGCAAAAGCTGTTATAAATTCAGTGCTTTGGTCCTGATTAGATTCTAGATGGGAAAACAAAGGACATTATTCAGACAACTGACAAAGTTCTCGTATGAACTATATGTCAGATAAGAACATTATATCATTGCTAAATTTCAGGGATGTGATAGAGTTATATTCTAGTTATATTCTAGTAGGAGAATATTCTTTTTAAAGAGGTACCTACTAATGAAGTATTTGAAAGTAAATTATAACACTGTCAGCAACTCCTCAAATGCTTTGCAAAAAATTGTAAGAATTGTAAAAAAAACCTGTACTATATAGAGAGTATAAAATGAGACAAAACAGATGTACTGGATGTATGTATGTATGTATAGAGAGTGTATAAAGGGAGACAAAGCAAATGTAGAAAAATTAGTATTGAACTAGGAGTAACACACGTGAATGCCCATTGCTCTACTCTTGTAACATTTCAGAATTTAAAAACAGAGGTAATAACGAACAACTAGGGAACAAGAGACTTTTTAACTGAAAAATGTTGTTATTAAAATAAAGTCAAGGAAATCTCCAAAGAGTAGAACAGAAAGAAGAAATATAGAGGTAAAATGAAAGAATTACTCTTAAGAGATCTAACATTTGACTAGTGGTAGTTCTAAAAAGAGAGGACAGGAAAATTATCAAAGAAATAATACACATAGTGTAAACAGAACTTTAGGGCAAGAGTTCACAGATTGAAAGAGAATACTAAACACCCACCACAATGAAGTGAAAGGAAAGAAAACCCCATACGAAAATGTAGCATCATAAAGCTTCAGAATTCAGGAGGGAGGAGTTGAACTAATAGATTACCTAATATACAATAATTGATTATGAAAAAATATAGTGGAGGGAGGGGTTTTATAATTCAGGCACAATCTTCAGAGAGATTTGCAATAGTGACATGGAAAACTAAGCAAGTGGGAAAATGAGGCAGTTACTAAATCTAGGGAGAATGAAAAACTATATAAAGAAATATATGAAAAATCCTAGTACCTACTTGATTCAATAGGAAGGAGCAAAGTGAACACTGAAGCAAATTTTATGTCATAAATAATGTTATTAGGAGACTGAAGACTGGGGCCATAGGAATGTGGGATAGTATAAGAGTGCTGACTCTCTTCTATAATAGGAAATCAGTAGTTAATAAAAGAAACTGGTAAATCAAGAAATAGCAGTAAACTATATATACTCAAACTTAAAAATTATTACAGTAAAAGACACATTGCTAATAATCTCCCTTAAAATACTTTCACTCTCTTTGAACACACTTACGCCGTCATTCTTGCCACTTTCTGAAGCAGTTCTGGAAGTCCTCTTTCATGTCTTTATGAGGTCTGATCAAAAATATGGTGAGTGCTGCTGCTAAATGCCATCCAATAGAAAGGCAGTACTGTAAAAATATGATAGTGTATCTTCATCCAGTTTATTCAGTGGGTCTGTCACCATGTGACTTCCAGCTCTTCCTTAGTCCAAATGACCATGAAAGGTAAATGTTTTAAGTTGATTCAGGACATTGAGGAAGCCACGAAGGCACAACTAAGGATGTAAAAAGAATTTCTAGAAGTGCTTTAAAAAGTAGCAAGAATGATAGGTTAAGTGTGTTTGATGTCAGGGGGCTATTTTGAGAGGAATTAATGGTAATGTGTGTGTCTTTTACTGTAATAATGTTTTTAAAAATTTGAGTATTTACCATATTTTTTGATTGAACCATGTGTTTGTGTGTGTGTGTGTGCGCGTGCATGCATACGTAATATGTAAATACTGTATATATGTAAATATAGTACCCAGGCATGGGCACAGACAAATTGTAGTTATTTTGCTTAAGGGTATATTTGTAAAGATCCTATCACCCAAGAGTACCAGTAAAAATAACAATATTCCTTTGTCCCCCAACATATTTAAAAGTAGCTGTCAAAAGACAAATTAATTGTAGATCAGAGTTTGGAGTCTGCCAGATCTGTGCAACATTAAGTTTAATAGCCATGGTTAACAAAAATAGCTACTGGAAATAGTAGTACACATAAGGATTCAGGATATTATTTTTAAATTCCTACATAAGTAACAGTGCTTTCAATTAGAATATTTGCTGATTGCAGAAAATACAGTTTTACATTTTTAACTTCCCCTTTCTGCTGTTCCAAAATGAAATATGAAGCATCTTTCAAAACGAAAAATGAAGAATAAAGTTGCATTTTATTTAAGTTAAATGATGGTAATGGTATTATAGTTTCATAACCTTTTGTTTGTTCACTGGGACTGAGTAGCTCAACAGTAAAGGAAAATTTCCCACGTTAGTTTTTCCCACTTATACTGTAGATAAAGAATTGAGAGGTAAAAAAGATCCAAAATGTACAATAGATATTGTGAATTGGGAAGAAACTGTTCAAAAGAAAAGACAAAGTGTGATGGAAGAAAGGGGAAAGGAAGGAAAGAAAAAGGAAAAAAATATATATATACACACACACACAAGATAGTTACACAGCTGTAGTTTCTCTCGGTTCATTGAAAAGAAAGGTTTGTGCTATTATTGTTTGGACAATATATCATGCATATATCTTATACTCCAAGTAACTACTATGAAGATAACAATATACAGTGTAGTAACTGTTGTTACTGTCCTTCTAGCCTGTTTTGAAATGGTTTTATTATTTTTACTTTTTCTATTTAAAATAAAAATAATAAATATTATAAATGATTATGTATTTTAAATTATACTAGTTTTGAAATGATCTTTCTCTATATTTCTCTTATGTTTGCTTTTAAGGGTAAAGTGGCTGAACGTGGTACACACTATGCTTTGCTTGCTAACTCTGGCAGTATCTATTCAGAAATGTGGCACGCACAAAGTAGTCATGTACAGAACCATGATAACCCCAAATGGGACGCAAAGAAAGAAAATATGTCCAAAGAGGAGGAAAGGAAGAAACTACAAGAAGAAATTATCAACAGTGTGAAAGGCTGTGGAAACTGTTCGTGCTAATTCATAGGAAATATTTGTTTTCATGTTTTGGACTGCACTTCAAGTACAATTCTATGGTGAAGAATTGTTTAATCAAAACAAAAGCATACATTCCCATTTTCTATAACCCTTCTTTTAGATAAGATTTATTCAAAGGAGGATTTTAATTTAACATCTTTCATTCTATTTAATGTGGTATCTGTATTTATCACCAAATTATTCTCTTGTTCCTGCCCTGGGTATAGTCAATGCATAATTTTTGTGTTCCCACTTAAGTTTAACTCACGACTCTCTGTGAGGCCTGGCATCCATTTCACATCCAAAACCAGATGAGCCAGATTGGTTTCCAAATTTTTGTTTTTAAAACTTTGTGGTGACAGTTTAGAGACAAAATAGCTTTTTCTTAAAATTACAGAAAGAGGACAGTGTAAATTCTTTGTTTCTTTTCTCTTCTTCCTCCAATTGAAATACTTCATTAATGTGGAAATTAGTTGATAAATATATTTAGTTAGAACTTATGAGAAATAGACATCCATTTATAATTTGGTTATCTTAATAGATTCCTGTAATTCAAGTTTTGGAAATATTTCCAACTGTGTACTGTACATTTTAAAACAAAAACTTGAATTTTCATGTTTGTATGGACAATATTCTTAATCACTAGCTAGCATAATAACTTATCTAGGGATTAGAATTTTATTCTTCCACCAATGTGGCAGTGTTTTGGTTTTGAACTAAAATTTATCCATTGTTCCTTAAACATTTATAAACCTTAATATGGTTTGACTGTTGCTGTACTAACAGTGATAAAAAGGCTTAGAATATTAATGGCCTTTCCTATTTCTACCTGAAATGCACTCCTTTTGCCATCTAAAGTTATACAAACAAATACATAGTGTCTTGGGTACGTGCACATACATGTGTATAAATTAATGTTCATTGAAAAATTATTAAAACACCTTTGGTAAATAGGAAAAATATACATATACATGTATAAAAAACCAGGACTCTTAATCTATGTTCACACTTTAAACCTGACATAACAAACAAGGAGCCCAAGCAATATAATGAAGCTTTACTAGGGGAAAATGTTTTACTTGTTAGAAATAATTACTAAAATGATGATAGATGTTCATTTAGAAAGTTCTTCTCAGGCATGGTGGCATACACCTGTAAGTCCAGCCCTTGGGAGGCTGAGGCAGGAGGATTATTGCAAGTTTGAGGCTAACCTGGGTTGCGTACGAGTTCAAGCCTGTTCTGAACTATACAGTGGGACCTTATCTCCAAAAAAAAAAAAAAGGTATGTACCTGTAGTTCCAACTTCTCAGGAAGCTGAGGCAGGATGATCCCTTGAGCCCAGGAGTTAAGGCCAGTCTGGGCTACATAGCACCCTGTCTCTCCAAATTAAAAAGAAAATAAAAGGAAAACAAGTTCCTCTCTTTTCCACTATGACTTTGCCTTAATTTGTTGGATAGTCATCATTCAGTTTGAAAAATTTGTGTATCTCACAAATACTCACATAACTATAATGAAATTTTATATCTCAGGAAAGGTCCTAATATATTTATTTTACTGGTTTATGGTTTTAAATGATAATCTAGTATCAGAGAAATTAATATGTTTTGTTCTGTATTGTTGATGTTGATGAATATATAGCCCAACTTTTCTATCAAGACAGTTTGGTAGATAGCCTGGGCCACCAGTATGTCATAGTTAGTTTTTGATACCAGAGTAAATAATGTGATGTAGGATCTTGATTTTAAAGTTGAAATTAACATTGCAATACATAATGAACTACAAAAAAAAAACTTTTTTTTTTTTTTCTTTAGACATTTCTTTTTCTTAAGTAGTAGATATTGTTATAGTTCTGAAGAGGGAAAACATCGTTTCCTTTAAATCAACTACATTACTGGAAATGTGGTTATAGCCTAGACAGAAATTTTATATCTCTGTTAATTCCTTCTATACATTTCCAATGATGTTGTGGAAAAAATTTAGCTTAGTTGCATAAATAAGATTAAAATAATCATTAGTAATAATTCCTTTGTAAGTATGAAAAGCAACATTCAAAGCAAGTTATTTTGTGAGGTGGGGAACATTTAGTCCAAGAGGATAGGAATGTTACCAGCGTGGAGATGATTTCCCCACTATTTGTTTTGTTTTTTGTTTTATTTGAGAAAATGTCTCACTGTATAGTTCAGGCTAGCCTTGAACTCGCGGCAGACCTCCTGCCTGAACCTCCTGAGTGCTAAGATTACAGGTATGTGCCACCATACTTAGCTAATAAGAGATTCTAAAGCTGACTTAGTTTCGTGTGATTGCAGGTGGTCCCTAGTCCACTGTGGTCATGAACCAGTATTTTCAGCTCAGAAGAAATTAAATTACCTGAAAACACAGTTATTGCAAGGGCTGTAGCTGAGTCACAAAGACATTTCTCTTAAAACCATATTATATTAAAGTAGTTCTACACAAGGAAATAATAGATTAAGACGAAAGAAAAGCTTCCTAGGATGATTCACGCATAGGAAATGCCAAGAAACAGGGCATGTAATTATAATGGACTAATTTTACATTACAACATTACATACACAAAAGGATAGTATGTATACATTTTTAAGTAAATGTTGCAACAATGTATTGGGACTGATAGGCTACAATTTTGGAATTTGAGTTCTCAAAATGAGGCAAGGTGGTAGTTTTATTTCTTAGCATAGATTATTTTGAACACCAAAATATTTACTTTCCTCTTAATAGGAATCCCACTTTACCAAAACTTAACTTGAGACCAAGGTAATTTGGGATCAACTTTTAACTGATCCCAGGTGCCTTACTGAAGTTTCTTAACATAGAAATATCTTGGTGAACAGAGGGGCTCATTTGGAAATTTTTGAAGAGCACAAGTCTAGGGGCTGGGGATTTAGCTCAGCGGCAAAAGCGCCTGCCTGGCAAGCGCAAGGTCATGAGTTCGGTTCCCGGTACTGGAGAAAAACCAAAAAAAAAAAAAAAAAAAAGAGCACAAGTCTGAGTGTCCCTTGATAATTAAAGAGACCTTTATTTAGCATTTGGACATGAATGAATTCAAGATAGTCATTTACTTTTCCTCTGCAGGGATTCGCACTTTTATATACCTTAAGATAAGTGTAGCATTTTGTCTGTCCCATCAATGTGGAAAAAGCTTAGTTTGTGAAGATGGCTGTTTTAAAAATATGTTTTGCTTCAAAGGCAAAGTATTTAAGATTGTATGGTTCCTTGTTTCTAAATCATTTTGTCTCTATTGTTGTCTTGCTCCTGTCCTTCCTACTTGCTGAATATGTCGATGAGTATCAACTTTTGACAGTGTATATACATAATTTTCTTTCCATGGAACTTTATTGCAATATATTCTGTTTTGAGTTAGTAATTGAAAGTATTTAAATATTCTTGCAATTGTAGTTTTCTCAAATTCTAGAAAAGTTTATTGTTTCCCATCTTTGAGTATATACATTGTATAGTACATCATAATGTTAAGTCAGATAAGCTGGGTAAAACTGGTTAAGACAGAACAACTCAAACAAGGAAGCCCTCACCACAGTTTTATTGTTTATGGCAACATGTCTGGAAAATCTTTACTGAATAAACATTATGTCTTTGTGACTAGAAATTGTTGTCTAATTTGAACAGTTCTTCTCTTTAATGCCCAGGGAAAACTGATATTTTATCACTTGCACATTCTAAATAAATACAGCTAATTAGTAGACACTCTGGGAGTATGGACTTATAACTTTATGCAGAAGGTGAAAATTTGGCATTGTTCAGAGAGAAAGTAATTGTTTGCAAAGCTCATAATGTGGTCAGATTGTAATGATTTCAGTTAGCATTAAGCTGTCATATTTTAATGACCAGTTAGTGAATGGTAAAACTATTGTAAAGGAGTACTATGAATAACCTTGTACGAACAAATTAGGTAGTTTAAATGAATAAATGCACAGATACAAACTGTCAAAACTGACTCCAGAGAAAATATACAGTTCAAATAGATTTATAGCAAGTAAGGAGATTATTTTGTTAATAAAAGTTCACAAAGAAAACTGCAGGCCTAGATGGCATCGCCCCTGAATTCTACCACACATTTAAGGAAAGATTGGTGAGAGACAGAGAGAGGCAGAGAGAAACTCGGCACAATGTATTGTTAGGTCAGTATTATCCTGATACCACAACCAAAGACAACAGAAAATTGCAGGACATGTAGATGCAGAAATCCTCAACAAAATAGTGGCAAAGTGAGTCTTACAACATTTAAAAAGAATTTTACAGAATGAGCAAGTGGAATTTATCTCAGAAATGCAAAGTTAATTTAACATTCAGAAAATCAATACTATAGATTTAATAGAATAAATGACAAAAACCATGTGATCATTTCAATAAATTTAGGAAAAGCATTTGGCAAGATGCAACACTTTTGCATGATTAAAAAATGCTTAATAAACTAGACATTAAAAATTTTCTCAGATATCTTATTCTACTTTGAAGATAACTTGTTTTATTATGAAACTTTTTTTTTCTATAGTAAAATCTCTCAACTTGAAGAGTTATAGAAAAGCTACAGTTTAACCTCATACTTAATGTGAAAGACTAAATCCTGAACAAAGTGAAGAATGGGGCAAGAATGTTGCTTTTACCATTTTTATTCAGTACTTCCCTAAATGTTCTAGCCAGGAACTCAGGGAATAAAAACAAAATTCGATGACCCTGGCTTCCTAATTGCAAAACTTAACTCAAAATGTGCAATAATCAAGCTATACATGGCATAAGAATGGAAATACATGTAAGTCGAATAGAATTGAGTGCAGAAATAAGCTTTAATATTTATGGAGAGTTGATTTCTCAACAGATTACCAAAATCATTTAATGAGGAAAGAACAATCTCTTCAACAAATGGTGCCTGGACAACTGTTCATCTACATAAATGAAGTTGGATTTCATATGTATAAAAGTTAACTCAGTGTAGATCATTCACTTAAATGTAAGCACTAACACTTTCAGAGAACAGGGTAAATCTTCATGGCCATGGGTTAGGCAGTGGTTTCCTGGATGTGACACCAACACAAAGAGAAAATAGATAAATTTAATACCAACATTTGTCCTTCAAGTAATGCTGTCCCCACAGTAAAAGGACAACCCTTAGAATGGGAGAAAATATTTGTAAATCATATATCATAAAGGGGGCTGTATCTGGAATATATAAATATAATTACAATTCAGTAATAAAAGGTGATAACCCCATTAGAAGCTAGAAAGAAAATCTGATTGGAAATTCTCCAAAGAGGATATATAAATGGCTGATAAAGAGATGAAAAGATGCTCAACATCATTAAACATTAGGGAAATGCAAATCAAAATAGTGAAACAACATGTCATACTCTCTAGATGGCTATAATTTAAAACAGCAAGAATATGGAGAAATTGTAATGCTCATACATTACAGATGGGAACATAAAAGTGGGGCAATTGATTTAGAAAACAGTCTGTTCCTTAAGAAAAAATAGTTATTGTATGACTCAAGTTCCCCTTGGTATATTGTCTGATAATATAAAAATATGAAGTTCTAATACTACACCATGGACCTTGTAAACATGATGCTAAGTCAAAGAAGCTGGTCACAAAAGTCCACTTATGGTATGCTTCCATTCTTGAACATATATATTTATAGAGGTAAAAGATTAGTTGCTATTTAGGGCTTGGGGATAGGTGGAAACGTGTTCTGGAGGAATAGGAAGGAATGGTGTGAGTATATTAACAACAGCCTGTGTTACGTTGTACGTGACCAAAAATTGTGTTTTGTACACATCCTGACATTTCAGTATGTTGCTGGTGTTTCTGTATTCCAGTAGGTCATGCCATTGAAGTAAGAAATTGGAATCTTCAAGTAGTTTCTCTTCTGGTTTTAATTGCAGGAGTCTTCAGCTGCTATTTCCAAAGGTTCATTTACCATGCTTAAAATACTCTTAATAATGATTTAAATATATATATATAATATATAAATATATCTACAGATATATAAATCTATAAAGATAAATATGTGTATGTATATAGATGCTGCCTTTTACTGTAGTCATGAAAAATGAAGACCCTCCTCCCACTATTAATATTAGATGTCAGGTTGTCTATAAAGATACGCCACTGCATAAATTAGAAGCTGCAAGTTTATACGGAGAATGCAGTTGCAAAACTTGCAGTGAATAATTTCATAGTTGTGTAGAATATCACAGTAGGAAAACTAACATAGCTTGGTCTAAGGATCAGCCGACTTTTTCTCCAAAGGTCCACATAGTCAATTTTGTTGGCTAAGTGATGTTTGTCACAGCTATTTGACT